AAATTCCTCTGACATCCAGTGTGATTTAGATATCTATCCTCTGTGCCCCCATAATGCATATTACACAGTATTCTAACTGTTGGTTTAATGGTAAGTTTCTTCCAAAAATTGGTAAATGACCTTAGGGTAGAGACTGCATTTTATTTGACTTTATATCTTTAGTACCTTTTATGATGTGAGACAAATATAATATTCAGTGGATGATTACTAAATGACTTAATGAAGGAAATGTCACCGAATGGAAATAGGTTGAAGAAGCTTACTAGAAAGTGTATAGGTTACCAATTATGCCTCCATACTTGCAATAAAGAATTTACCAAACAATTCAAACCATAAACCTAAGCATATATATTCTTTCTTTAAAGGTAGTTCTCTTTCTGGTTCACACTTTCATTTTTGTCTTCGGGCAAGAGGGAAAAGTTAATTATATACTTTGATTTTTAAAGCCTTTTCTTCAAGCTGAAAAGACTTGAACAATGGGCATAAAATAACTTTCAAATAAGATAATCCTCCATAAAACCCAATTAATTATTTTTATTTCCAAAACTACAAGTCATTATTTTTCCCTTTCCATCAAACTGAAGAACTTTTTATTCTACCTGCTAAATACATCTTCATTGTTTCACCCTAGTCTCTTCTCCTGCTATTACATGTTCATCTTTTCCTTGGCATTCTCACTTCCAGCCTCTCCTACTATACCAGCCAGGCATCTATCCTATATTCTACATTGGTGACATTTTTCTTTAGAAGATGCAAATTCGATTACCCCAGTGAAATTCAAACATTGGATTAGCATAAAAGGCTCTATCTTGGCATCACAACCTACTACTTCAGTCTCATTTCCTACCACTCCTTTAACTCCAACTAGGTTCAACTTTCAGGAACCTGTTAATATTCTTTTATACCTCCAATTCCTAGCTTGTGAAAATGCCTGTGAAATGTACATTCTCTGTGAATCTGTCTGATCTATGCAATTTTTCTCATCCTCATACACAGATCAAACGCTGTACATAAGAAGCTTTCCTTGACTTCTCGAGACAGAGTTAGGTCAGGTCTGGCATCTGTGCACCTGGAAAAGCATTTATATGCTTTCATTAGAGCATTTACCTAATTTCATTTTACTTTTTAAGTAGGTATTTCCTACCAGACTATAAGTGTAAGGAATTGTGTCCATTTATCTTTATATCCCCAGAATGTCCCATACAACTTGCCACATAGCAAGCCCTCGTGAATGCTTCCGGAAGATAGTGAAAGAATGCCACTTTGATTTCAGACACTTTCTTACTAGAAGAGCCAATGTGGGGAAGAGCATGTTTGGGAAAGAGAGGCTAGGAAATAGCTCGATGTCAGATATGAAAATAAAAGAATACTAATTAGTTTCAAGGAACTAATGGCAACCACAATGATGGCAACCCTAGACCTATCACAAGAGGAAAAAAAAAAAAAAGAGAGATAAAGATGTAACAGGATAGTAAGAGAGGGAAGGGGATAAAAATGATTCCAGTGTGGCTCTGTTTAAAAGGAGATACACACCAAGCTATGTACATGAGACAAGGTTAACGGTGAGCTCTGGCAGCATGTTAAGCATATTTTTCTCTCTTACGGCATTTATCAATTCCTATCTCATACAGTCAGTTCCTCTCTAAGTATGTTAACAAAGAGAAAAGGAGATTAATGATAATCTTAAATTATTATTACAATATGCCTAGAAAAAGTACAGAATTAAATGGCATTAAAATAAACTTAGGTGGTTAAAACTGTTCAATATTGAAGAACAAATATTTGAGTCTATACCTGATAGCAGAACCTCCCCCTCCCCCACTCCTCCTTGGCTTTGCCCCCTCTTCCCTCCAACACCTGAGCGCATCTCCCACTGTCCTCATTCTCCATCTTCTACTTCGGTTTCAGAGCCACCCATGAGAGCCTCTGCCTGTCAAGCCCTAAGCAACCTGGGAAATGGGGTTCATGCTGAGGCTGCAGTTGTTTGGGAATCTTTTTTCCCCCAAAATACACCTGTTTAAATTATCAGCACTTATTCTATAGCTGGTTAATCTGCCACCAAGAGATAGTTAAATGTTGACTATAATTATTTATATATACCTTATCTCCCCATAATAATATAAAGTCTTTTAGAATAACTTATTCAGATCTGTATGCAACATAGAGTTTCACAAATAACTGTGAATGGAAAACTGAATTCATAGAATTAATAATCCAGTCAAATGTCAAAACTGCAGTAAAAGAACATTATATGGAAAAAGTAGCAGTGCCATAAGGTGTCTTTGGAAAACTTTGGCATGGCCCCCAAGCCTCTATTAGCTACCCTGCCTCAAGCCAACAATTTCAACAGAAATAGTGTGCTAATAGGCAAATGAAATCTTGAATGCCTAAGTTAATGCTGGTAAGTAACGTAACTTTAAGGGGGCTGGAACATTTACTATTTCTTAATATTTAATGCCTAGAAATGTACTAGTAAAAAGAAGTATTTAGTGGGTGTTTACTGCACATCTAATACATTTCATTCTCATACCAAGCCTATGAGTAACACACTCAGACAGACATCAAATAGCCGGACCAGGTTTGTTGGAGTGCTAGCCTCATCGTTTTAACCTCTATGCTCTGGAACCTATGCTGCCCTCATAAGCAGATAATGCAATCTTGTAATATCAAATTTACTAAGACTTAAAACATGTTTTAAAAAATTTTAGTTAATAATGATAATAATATAAAAGGAAATGGATGCACAATGATAAACAGAAATAAATCTGTTTCTTTATATTATATAAAATATCCTCAATAGAAAGAAATGTTTTAATTATTTAGGATGACAAAGTATTTTAATATTTAAAAAAATTTCTCAACAACATATACTCACTAGCTGTCCAATAAACACAGTTCCACAGTATGCACTATATAAAACAAACAACAACCCCAGAAATAATCTTCGAGCTGTCTACAAATCACTAAATAAGTATATTTTAAAAGTGCCTTTGGCATTCCTCAATTCTATTATTAAATATTGGCCAAGTCTTTTTTATAGGAAAGATATAAATGCACCAATAAGTTAAGATTTTTGTACGAGCTTCTATGAATAATAAAATCTACCAGCATAAAAATATAATAGGACAAGACAGATGACTTCAAATCTAAAGCATTGAAATTATTAATTGCTTTCCTTTTGAAGACTGATTTGCTAACATTAATTTTTCAATCCTAGAGGACTGGTGACAGATAAACCTTAGAGACTGCCTTCCTATCTGCTACTGGGTATTGTGGAGAAAGGATGTTTTGCTTGGGTTTTGACTTTTGTGAAGGGAAGAGATGCCTATTTTGGTCTAGATTGTTCTCCACACTTGTAGAAAGCAAAATCCGTAATTTCCAAGATAAATCACATGACAGTTTGGAGAAATTTCCAATTATATCACTGATCATTTACCTAAGAGAAATGAAAATACACCAATAACCAATTAAATCATTTAGGAAACCTATAGACTTATGAGAACCATCTCTAACTTTTTGGTGCAACCAATGAAAGAGAAGAGTAAATAGTACCTTCTTTTGGTTTATTCGGGTTGGCTGCCATTACTGTCAATTCAAACACGTTATGAGAAATAATTAGAGAGTATCACAAAAACTCAATATAGCTTGTTTGCGAAGTGTCCCAAAGCTCAACTCATTTCAAATACTTAAGAAGATAATCCCATACAAAATTAACGTGATCTAAAATTGTTTTTAAACAAAGTAAGATTTTATCTTCATGCTGAAGGCTAAAGAGAACTATTTAACCCATAAAAAACTACAAAAGCAGTAGAGAAGGGAATGAAAATTGTGAATGCCATTTCTACCCACCATGGTGACTCATGACCTGCCCAGCAGCCTCCAAGCTGACATTCTGGAGATAGTTGTGGCAGCGTTCCTTGTGCTCCTCCAGTGAACTGCGCTGCTTGTAGCTTCGTCCACAGTAGTTGCACTTGTGAGGTTTACCCACTGTGAAGAGAATTCAAAATTAGTGTGCTGTCAGTCCCAGCCAAAGCAAAATTAACAGATAACTTTTGAGGAAGCATTTATACGCTTTTCAGACTTAAATCTCTTCCTCCTCCACACTGGGATTTAGATAATAAATCACCAAGACTAAAAGACAGAAAGAAGAGAAGGCAGAGTGTACCTTTGGTGAGAGGGGAAATACTGAATCAAATTCATGCTCTGACTGTATCCAAGATGATCAATTTTCAAATTATCTGACTCTTAACACTAACATTTACTCGTACACAGTTCTCTCAGCTTTGACTCATTCAAAAGACTAATCAAGAGTGCCCTAGATACATAATGAGAAATATTTTTTATTTATTTTTTTAGGGGGGCGGGGGATAAGGAGAATCTTACTGAAGAAAACCAAAATGCAACAACTCGAAATGTCATTGTTTAATGAAAAGATTATTCATAGGTACCAAGAATACTAAAAAAGAATTCAAGTGATGAGAAAAAAGTACAGATAAAAGCAAAGTTTCTCTTTTCTTTCCACCTTGGTAATAACTATTCACACATGCAAAACTTTGTAGCAGTTAAGTGCATTCTCCCACATCAGTGCCGTTCTTATATTACCAAGAATTAACCTACTAGGTGCTTTGAGTCAGGACTATTAACAATACCACCGAAGCCCTAACATATTCAGTTACACAATAATAGTAATATTTTCCAATACATTTCACATTCGGGAAATAAATTATTTCCTAATAGCTAAAGAGCCATATTGCAGTATACCTGGTAAAACACTGTGAGGCTCATATTTAAACAAACAAACAAACAAAAGAAAACAAAAAAACTTTATAAAAGGAACAAAAACACATTTATGGAAAGAAGCATGTTTTAATGTATAACCATTCAGAAGGATATCACAGAGCTCTTCGATTCTTGGTTTTGAATAGTAACAAGAAAAACATAAGATACCAGGTGGTCTGTGCCAACGCCCTCAGTAGTAAAGTACAGTGTGAATCAAGTCAACGGCTCTCACTGGACTCCCACAGCAATCATTTTGTTTTGCCCAGAAGACAAGTAGGCAATTCTTTTTCGTGGCCAAAGACAGCATCCCTGACTGCAGTCACCTTACAAGCCCACTCCGTGACACTGGTCATAAAGTGAGACTAAAATACTGTAATAAGGCAAGGTATTCACAGCAACATAAAAGTTTCACTCTAGTGATTTTTGGAAAAAAAAACACAAAACCTTTAGAGTGTATTTAAACTGCACATATAACATAATAAGTTCTTATGATTTTTTCGTAAACTGTCTTAAGTAAACAAAAGCTATCTAAGGCATTAGTCATTTCTTAAAATACTAGGCAAAGTAACTTCTATTATTCAGAACCCAGAATTTCTGAGAAGATGAAAACAAGCAGCTGTGCATATATTGTGAAGAATTTGTATCACTGTTTAAGAGCATTAGAAAATACTTTTAGTCAAAATATAGTATAATAATATAAATATATTTACATGAATTGCATTTCAAGTCATGAGACTATACATTATAAAAAGCCTTTGTTTGCTATAATCACTACTCAATTTGGGGTTCTTTAGAGCTGTTTCTCTTGAAATAAGTGAGGAATTTGCATTGAACAAATCTATTAACTAATTAATACTTATTAAGCACATACATTGTAATTAATATACCTCTATAAACTAGTTCTGTCTCCAACTTCCTATTTATTAGTCCTGTTGCACTGCATCCTATGATAACTGTTTTACCGTGAATATAACCTCCTATACGTTCTTTCTTTTACTTATATAGGCAAACTTGATACCTTCTCATCTCAATTAAAACGTAGTTCCCTTCTACTCCCCTGGGCTCACAACCCTCTATAAACTCCCAACTTACGTGACAAAGAAGAAAAGACAGTATACTTTTTACTGCTTTCAAAACTCATTTTTTTACTCCCCTTATTTTTGAAGTCTATCCCATTTGTATTACTTCAGCTGTTTTTAAAAATCACCCTTTCCTCTTCATCCCTTCCTTGTTCTTGGTGAGTCCAAGGAGTTTGAGTAAATTTTTCTAAAAGTATAATTCCCAAATTTTCCTAAATATTCATCTGCATCCCACTCCAGCAATCTAAATACTGGGTGACATGTTGAACTTTGACATCTCATAACTATTTTATCTCCACGAAATTTGCTCTGGAAATGCTACACCTTTTTCCTTTACCTCTCTCATTTAATACATGTTTATTAAAAGCTTCCTATGTATCAACACTGATGAGGCTGGACTGCAAAGTGAAGAAAGATTCTCATGGTGCCTATCTTCATGTAAATGACAGTCTGCTGAGGAACATGAGACATTTAATAAAATATACATGGGATGTATTACAAATTGTAGTAGATTCTGCAGAGCAAAAGAATGTTGTGCTAGCTAGTATAACATAGGGGACCTAATTTAGTTCTAGAAGGTTGAACAGAAAGGTCTGTCTCAGGTAGGAACATTTAGGCTGATAACTGAAGAAAAAGTAGACGTTAGTCAGATAATGGGGGTTAGGGGTAAGGTGGAGGAGGGGCAGTATTTCAGAATTTCCGGGAACTGCTGTCATCTCTTTCTATTTGCTCTCACGTACTTAGCTCCTTCGAAGTCTAGATCATGCCCTTACTAGTCTTTTGAAAATTTTTTCAAATATCAATAATCTCTGCCAAATCTAATGGCTCTACTATCACAACAAGAATATTTCTTGCCATTTCTTTGATATTTCTTGAAGTTCATGAAAATATTGTTTATATTTATTCTCCATATATGCATTTATCTGTATAATACTTATAAACCATGTGAGTTAATATGTATATCACAGATATTCAAAAGCAACCAGATTTTTTGCTATTTTCACTTTTATAGATATATGAAATACATAAATATTATAAAATATATTCTCACCATCTGAAACACCTTCATTCTGATATTAACGAAACATTTTTTTAAATGTTTTTAATCACAAAACATTTTTGATTTGTGATTCAGATCACTTCATAAATTATACGAAGTGATCCCTCCGATTACTCTGAATCACAAAATCCAGTGGACTTCAATCAATTCTAAATCTTCCCAATTTCTTGGTCATTATCACACTTTCGTGTGTTATAAATCTTTGGTCTTAGGTCTGGAGTCAGATGCTGTTTTCCCTCTCACTAGCTTCTCAACCTCTTCCTCCCTGGCAAATATATATGTACCTCCAGATTGTGTTCTCAGTGCAGTAGTCCCCTCTTCTCCCTCTAGACGAAAGCACTCGTTTCTATGGAACGTCCAAATAATTTCCCATTTGCAAGCTCCTACTTGTCATTTAAACCTTTTTAAAATGAACTTGGTGGACTCAAAGTCACATTTTTCTCATCTGTGCTCTGACAGAACTCTTCATATTCTGTTGATCTATTACTTATGATAATTGCATTGTAATGATCCATTTGATATCTATTTCCCTAATCCAAATAACGAACCCTGTCATATGGACAGAGGTCATGTTTTACTTAATTTTGAATTGATAGTGCTTATGGTAGTTATTAAATGTAGGAGATACTCAATATATATTTGCTCTTGAAACTCATACTTTCAGACACCTTCTGAGTATTGCCATTAGATTCCTCTGAAATCTAAAATTCAACATATCTATTTTAAAATTGGCTTTATTGAAGTTTAGTTTAAATAAAATAAAATCCACCCACTTCAAGTGTTGTTTTCAAGGAGTTTGGACGTATATAGTTGTGTAACTACCACCATAACTAAAATATAGATTTCCATCACCCTTAAAAATTCTCTCTTGCTCCTTTGCACCAATTCCCTTCCTGATACTAGGCCTGTGGCAACCACTGATCTGCTTCTGTCACTACAGTTTTGCCTTTTTTTTAGCATTTCATATGAACTCAATCATTCACTATGGAGTCTTTTGTCTAGTTTCTTTCACTCAGCATGATGATTCTGAGATTCAGCCATGCTGTTGTTGCATGTGTTGGCAGTTGATTACTTTTCATTGCTGGGCAGTATTTCATTGTATAAATATACCACAATTTGTTTATCCATTCACTAGTTTGAGTTGTTTCTAGTTTATGGCTATTAGGAATAAAGCTTCTATAAATATTTGCAGCTAAGTCTTTGTTTTCAATACCTGGAAATGGGATTGCTGGGTTATATGATATGTATCTGATTAACTTTATAAGAAACTGCTTAACTGTTTTCCAAAATGGCTGTATCACTGTGCATTTATTTCCATGAGCAATATATGAGAGGTACCATTGTTCCACATCCATGCCAAAACGGCATTGTCAATCTTTTTTTGATCACTTTACCCATTCTAGTAGTATGTGGTGATTTTGCATCTCATGGTGATTTAGTATCTCATGGTGATTTTGTGTTTTCCTAATATCTTATGAGACTAATCTTTTGACATTCACATATTTTTTTTGGTGAAATATCTGTTCAAACCTTATGCCTATTCTTTTTACTGTATTGTCTGGAATTTTATTACTGAATCACAAGACTACTTATTCTGGATATGAGACTTTCATCCAGATATATGCTTTGAAAATATTTTCTATGATTGTGTCTTGCTTTTTTTTTGAGTTTTTGTTGAAGAGCAAAATTTTAAATTTTGAATAAGTCCAATTTATCAATATTTTCTTCTATGCTTTGTATTTTTTGTGTTCTGTGAAAGAGATCTTTGACTCACCAAATGTCACAATAATATTTTTTGTTTTCTTCCAGAAGTTCTTTTTAAGTCTTACATTTGGGTCTATGACTCATTTCAACTTAATTTCTCTATGTGGTATAAGGTAAAGCCTATATCATTCTATTTTAAAAGGTGGATATCCAGTTGTTATAGCTCAATTTGTGGAAACTATCTTCACTCTTTAAATTATCTCACTGCCTTTGTTGAAAGTTAATTGATCATATATTTGTGGGTATATTGCTGGACTCTCTATTCCATTCTATTAATCTCTATGTCTATCCTTAAACCAAAAGAA